GGGGGGGGGGGGGGCAGGGGAAGTTTTAGGAACAAGTGAGAAACGTCTGTTCAACGGTTAAAACGGTTGAATTTTAGCTTATTTATGGGGGGTCTGTGGGGGGGGGGGTGTGTGAAGGAACTGTAGAGGGATATGTGAAATTTTCCACACCAACAACTATATAATATAGAGAGAGATGTATACGTATATATAAATTTGCTAGTGCGGCTCCGTTCATCTGCGCGCTCCACTCCATTTTTTGGATCAGTTAAATACTTTATTTTTTCAGTTTGCTTTTTGAAGGTAAAAAAATAAAAAAAATCTTTGTAAAGTCGTTTAAAAGTAAAAACAGAAGTGGTATAAATTTAAGAAATGCCTTCTTATGAATTTTTAAGATAATTCTTTGCTTCGTTTCTGATCGCAGAAAATATTTGAGGAGGTAAAATTTAAAAAACACAGTTTTAATTATTCTATTGATTACATAGTGTTTTCAACAAAAAGGTCCTACCAGTTCTTTTCACTTCACTTCGACATCCTAATATGGGATTCTTATCAGGCCTCATACAAAGTACAGATAATAATATTCAAAGAAGTCGTAAAAGTAAAACAATGGTGGTTATACTCTCTGGCTATAATAAAACTCTCTGATCGTTAAACACAATTTTTAAAATTATATGTGAACAAACAGATAAAATTTGTTTTATTCATGACCCAAGAGGTTCAGGAAAAACATTTCTATGTAAAATGTTAACTCCTAAAAGAAATGACTAGTCATAGAACATTTCGCTAAAAATTAGACTTGAACAATGTTGAAAGTTCGTTCTTGGAATTGGAATCTGAAAAAAAAATTGAAGGAAGTAGATTTCATTATACAAGACGAGGCTTCTATTGTTCCAAAAACAGCCTAAGAAATAGTTAAAAGAACATTACGTGATTTATGTGATACAAATATCCATTTTAGTAATAAATTAATTGTTTTAGGAGGCGATTTCAGACAGGTTCTTCCAGTTTTAAAAAATAGTAATAGAAGCATGATTATACAAAAAAGTATTAAATTATCATATCTTTGGTCTCTGTTTCGTATTCTGAAACTTAATATTATCTATATTCGTTTGATTGACTTAACATTTTTAAAATTATTGTTAGACATTGGAGAAGAAGGAATTAAATCATTTAACGTACCAAATAAATAAAAACAACTGATGTTTGTTCCTACATTTTTGGTAAAGATAATAACTTTTTTAAAAATAGCGTTATATTTATTTCTCATAACAAATATACTTACTTTTTAATAATAAAATTCTAAATCATGTAAAAGGAGAAATGAAAACGCATTACAGCAAAGATCATGACACTTACAAGTATTGATAAATCTGATAATGATATTTATATAAATTTTCCAATTGAATTTCTAAACAATATTCGTGAAGGCTTACCACCGCATGAGCTTTATTTAAAAATTGGAGCAATTGTTATGTTGATACGAAATTTAAGTACAGTTGACGGATTATGTAATGGTACAAGATTACAAACTACAAAATTCTAATAGTTAAATCTGAAAGTTTTTATACCAAAAATAACTCTTAATACAGAAAATTTATCATCATTACCTCATATTTTATACAGAAAACAATTTTCTTTAGTCTTAGCGTTTTCAATGACTATCAATAAATCTCAAGGTCAAAGTTTTAATAATATTGGATTGTATTTGAAAAAACCACTGTTTATGCATGCTCAATTATAAGTCGCGTTATCGAGATGCAAAAATGGAAACGGAATTTATATTGACGTAGAACGGAATAATAATTTAGAAATAGAAAATAAAGTTTGGAAATAAATTTTTGACGTTAACTAGTCTAAAGTAGATAAAAAAGAATTTGATTTCTTCACATCAGAAGTATGAAATTTTCTGAAATATTCTTGCACAGCTCATTTAAATCATAAATAAATGTATCAAATCAATAAAATTATTATTTGAATATTGTTTCATGACGATGCGCATTATTTGACATATGTCAATAAGTATGATTTCTATCTTTTCGTGATAAATGGGGCTACGAGCAAGGACCGCGGTTTAAATATTCTATAAATGTATTTGTTGTTGTTGATTGAGTATGGAAATATAATGTCGTATTTTTATACATATTCAATAACGCAATTAATAAGCCTTTAGAAATTTTAAGAAAAAAAACCAGGGCACCATAGCACTACCTTAACGGTAACGATGGTGTAGAAATGTGCTAATGTGCTAGAAATTAGGAACTTTCTTAAAACTGCAAGGAGAGCTAAGACATTAGGTGCAAACAATCACATAACTAGAAATGACATGAAAACCGATATAATTGTACCTCATTTAGAGATGTGGCTGATAGGCAACTGGGGGGAGTTCTTCGAAATTGTGTTGGATTATCCGGTTATTTGGTTGTAAAGTTATGAGAGGGGGCGAAATGGGAATAAACAAAAGCTCAACCCAATAAAAATTAGGTGAAAACTGACAGAATGAAAATGTGCTAAAAAAAATAAACATATGATGGAATTTTATCATATTTGGAGGGGGCTGAGGGGGTGGAGAAGAGGCAGAGGGGGATAACCAATAATTTAACCCGATGCAAATTACGTTAAAACTGTTATAATTTTACCTCAGTTAGAGGGGGGATTAGGGGGGACTAGAGGGCAAAAAAGGTGTGGAAGGGTGGGTTGTGTGGAATGACCCTCCAAAATCACTATACAATATATAAATATATATCAATATAATAATAATTGATACGTGCATAGATAGTTATACAAACACGCTTTAACCATCCATGCCATTTTCGATGCGGATCGAGCACACTAGACAGTCACTTCATAAATTAAGCTACCGAGAAACTGTGGATTTATTCTTACCGTAGACTTCGATAGTTCGTATTGTTTATTTCTAAGCGGTTTTACTTTTAGCACATCTATAGCTGGTTCATTATACAACTTTTCTAGCTCATGGGCACCACTACTTAAAAATATAGAGGTATGGAGTATAAAGTTTCTATGATGACGGCTTGCACGCTCATGGGAGATACGCAACAGTTATTGATGTTATATTATCATACGTTAGTTAATTCTCATTTACACATGTAAGCTCCTCATTTTTGTAATATACACTTATCGATAGACTTATGGTGGCATTCATAAGCTTATGAAAACATTATTGTTTTTGAATTTATTTACTTTGGACTTTTCAAGTTTTGAACTTTTTGGCCTGGTCGTCTTAGGCTCTGAACTGTTTGATCTGGACTTTTTAGTCTAGACTTTTCGGTTTAAACTTTTTGTCATACAATCCAAATTATTTTATAGAACGTCAACTTCTTGCTTACTTTTACGTTAGTGTGTAATGAAATTTTATCTAAGACTATCAGCATATATATCTTGATTGAAGATTATTTTCTTATAAATTCTAACAGTCTGATGTTGATGTGATAGAACTTGTGTTTGAATTTTGAAACCTAATCTCATTGAATGGTACCAATTTATTTTAGACTTGTAACGTTCGAAAAGCTTATTGTAAATAGGCTATTCAAGATTGTAAATTTTGATAAGAATGTGCAAAGAGTTGTAACACTTTTGCAGCTTCTTAAAAGCAGATTAAAAATTACAAAATCGTCTTTGAAGACCAACATAGAAACAATCAGTGGGAAAACGATTTCATTTTTAGAGATAGAAATGTTTTGTTCCATCCATGTTGTACAGGCTTTGTGCAATCCATGTTATTTTCAAAACCTATAGGAGTCAGAGAACTTTTTGTTCACCTTGAAACCTAAACAATGTTGGAACTGCATTTTTTAAATTTCATACTGAGAAAAGAAAATTATGGATAGTGATTTTAAGTATTCAGAACAAGGTTTTTTGAAAAAAACTTTAGAAATAAATGATACAGCACTTTGTAACTTATGTAGTACAGAAGTCTACTTTTAAAACAAATTAATTGTGTTAGGAGGTGATTTTTGTAAAATTCTTTCTGTTGTAGAAATGATTAATCGAAGCATTATAATGGAAGAAACGGTCGAATAATGATCAGTATAGCCAGTAAAATAACAAACTTGCCTATCTTCTTAAGGTTGTATAGGACACCCTTTTTACGCTAGAGTGCACGTTTCAAATCAAATTTTTTATCAAGTCTTCTAAATACTTAACGATAACATTACTTATAAATTATAAACATATAGTGTGGCTAAATCAAGAAAAAATTTTGTTTGAACAAATCGCTTAATTATTTATAAGAATATAGCCATTA